GGGGATTTGTACATGACTTGCTTGTACTGTATTATGTACGACTTAAAAGCTGTTATTAAAGGATAACAAAAAAAAAAAAGAAAAATACAACAAAACATTGGTTTTGTTGAGACCCAATCAAAGAATCCAGTAAAGAAGGTATTGTTGACAAAATGCCTTGTTGGATTTATTGACATGCATGAAAAGAATAAAATTATGCAGATGATTCTTTGAACACCTTGACATACATTAAATCCAGATACATATATTTTCTAGCATAGATGTTTTTCTACAATAAATCTGGAAGAAAGAAAGAAATACGTTATTAGGGGAGTGTGGCCTAGTGGTTAGGGCATAGTGCTTGGAATCCAGAGGTTCTGAGTTCAAGCCCAACTCCCTCAGACTGAGACTCTGGGTTACTGAGCAAGGCCCTTAACCCCACACTGCTTATCGGGTACCACACAACAGCAGCCCACTGCTCCCTAAGGGAATGGGTTAAATGTAAAGAGTTCATTTTGTTGCTCTGTACTTGTGACAGTGTAATGGGAATAAAAAAAATAGCTGAAAAAAAATATAGTTGAGGTCTGTGAAGCTCAGAACTAAAAGATCCAGTATTCAAGGTGGACAAACAAATTTCTCAGAAAGTTTATTGAAAACTTAATTGGAAAGAGCAGCATCTGCACCTCTGCAGGTATAGACAGCAGGTTAGTGACTATGTTTTGCTGGATGTGGATGATCGCAAACGAGTGAGTCCCTAACCTTGTCTTATAGTTCAGTCTGAATCCAGGATGGTTCCGGCCTGCAGACTGCCAACGCGGCGCGGCGGTCGCAGCACAGATAGTCCCAAATGCTGATGTATCAGTGCCGGATGACAGGATGGAGATCATAACCGAGCAGAAGGATGTATCAGGATAATCCAGAGGCGAAGCCAAAGCCGATTTCGGTGGAACGTTGTCCTAGCCTGGGGGTCAGAGATCTGGTATGGCGCCGAGAATCCAACACAGAGTCGGGTCACAGTTCTAGGTATAGTACACAGTGCGGCTGACGGGCTGGATGAGGGCAGGAAACGCTTCCGGTCGGGACATAAGCAGGCATAGATCAGGCAGGAGTCAGAACACAGGTCAGGTTAACAGATAAGAGGGAAACAGGCAGGCTCAGAGTTCAGGAGGCAGAACAGGTCAGGATCAGGTAGTCAGATCACAAGAGAGCTAGAATAATTCTCACCTGGCACTGATGACTGGTCTGAAGACTGGTTATATCGTAACTAATTCAGGTGGATCGGATGAGTGGGTAATGAGAACTGGCAGAGCTAAGCAGGTGTGTGAAATGGGTAATCAGACCAGACATCAGTGCTGAGGTCATGACAGGTCTTACCTCTATAAAGGCAAATTGATAACAATTGATTTACCTGGTTCACCAATTAGTAGACAGGTCTCTGGTAGCTTTGGTAAACCTATGTTATCAATATAGGTGTTAGATGTTCTTAAAGAAAACACTTTCCAATTATTTACGATCATGTAAAAAATAAAAATATTGGCAGCATTTCACAAAAGTCTATCTTACTATATTCCTACGGCAGTATTTGGAAGACGGGATCTTTTCGAAATCAGTTATGACATCATAACTAGCTGAGCGCCAAAGGTTATATCTCTCATGTCAATAAAACTCTAATTGTTGCTTTTCTTCTGTTTAAGTCTTTCAAAGTTTAGATGTATTATGATAGCTGTACTGTCAAAGTCAACAGAAAAATTACATTTGGAAAAATTCAACTAATATTTGTGCAGGTGGTGTGTTCCGCGGAGTCAGTGTTTGTTTAGATGACTAGTTTTTGTTTTTTTTAAAGGGTATGTTTTATAAGATGAATAACACAAAACTCCAAGGTATTCTCAGGAAATAGTAGTATTTACTGGGGCAAAGAAAATGTATTTGCTTTTATCTTATATCTTCCTTCAGCTGGTCATTGTGTTCACTCTTTGGCCTGGATTTGGCAACAATTGTGGACTGTGGAAAAAGCCTTCTACTCTTTATGCTTATCAAAGGCACTCAGACGATAGACATTCATGGGTGGAGTCCTGTTGACTAATGATTGACCACAGGTGAGATACTCCTACTAATGGACTATCTCCTTTAAAGAACTGCTTATGCATTGTGCTGTGTTTAACTTTCAAAAATTGAATTACATCTTTAGCCAAGGACTTGTCAATAAAGATTTTTCAAACAGGTTTCAAGTTGCCCATTTTTCTGAACTGTAGGCTATTGCAAAGGGTCTAAGATCAAAATTTTATTTCATATCCTCTATCCTTTATTTTTGCTTCTATCTGTCTTTTAAGAGAAAAATGGCATTTAAAATTTGGCTGCGTATTTGTTAACAAGTCTTAAGTAATCCTAAACTTTATTTACACAAAAGTAGTTATTGTTGATGTTGTGATAATATACAGTTAAGGCTCCATCCACAATGAGACAGGCTTTGTCAAGCCCGTGTCTCACTCAGCGTCCTTTCTAGGGGTCTTTAAACTAAATTTTCTCTTCTTTTAAATAGGTTCGATAGTTACAAAAATACATGTGCCACAGCAATGGCTCCATACAGTGTTATGTACATGCCCAAATCTCCCCTGGCTTGTTTCTGTTAGAGCGTCACAGCGCCACCAACAGGTGTGGAATAATTTCATGTTTTTAGGCATATTAAGTAGATTCATCTGGAGGCACAGGTGGCTTCATGCTTACAGAGAAAGTTTGTGAAATTATGAGCATTTGGATGTCTGGATGTAGTCTTAGTCTTTGCAATGTTATACTGGAGGAAAAAAAAAAAAAAAGATAGTGTTAGAAAGGACTGCTCTATTACCACTGGAAATGTAGCTCTCTTTTTCAAAAACAAATGTAGAGCATTATTGGACAGTGTGATGTATTTTCTTCTGATTTATTTTTTTGGTAGTCAGTTTAAATTACTGTCTTGACCAGGTAAACCCATCTGTCAGCATACTCATGCAACATGGGCTACTATTAGGATATGACCAAAATGAATGTTAAAAACAAGGATTATTTCCATTTTCCTCAACATAGACTGACTTGAGACATACAGAAACAGAAAGTCTTTACTTCCTAAATATTGTTCCATTAGAGTTCATATCGAGAACTTCTAAGGCAGACAAGTTGGCCAAACTGCGTTGCTAATGCTGGCATGTTCAGGCTTACTTGGCAAGTAGGCTAACATTATTTCAGTAGGTAATTGTGTGATTTTTAGCTAAAAAGTAGAACATTCCTGTTAATAGTTTTAAAATGTTATTAAAATTTCATATATATCAAAAGCCAAAAGACAATAAATTAAAGTATGTGCTTTGGAGACAATTATCATATAAATGCAATAATTCTCTAACTGCTTCAAATGTTTTTAAAGAACAAACACAATTTAAGAACCCAAGTGTTAGACATTGTCTTGCAGAAGTATTTAAAGGTAAAGTCGCCTAACACATCATCCCCACGGTAAAACATGCTTCGGGTAGCATCCTGCTATGAGAATATGCTGGTGAAGATTCTCAGTCATCCAGGTCATAGTCATTCCAAAGAAAAAAACAAAAAATTAAATTAAACAAAGCAAAAACAATGCTTTGTTGAGCTACTGTATAAAACCTCGAACTCAACTCTTTTCCTCACATTTTTAATTGAAAAAGTTTCATGGATCGGAAGCGAAACGTCTTCAAACTTCGAAACAAAGTCCAGTGGATTGCTTTTAATGTTCTTTTTTTTTTTAAAGGTACTGTATGAGAATGTGTAAGGAAATCGAGCCCAGCTAATCCATGTTGGAAACTACAGCATTACTGCAAAATAGCTGTTCACAGATGCTATATTAATGAAGTTGATCTTCTTATGAGGTACAGGAAAGTACGTTACTTTAAAAAAGATTTCATAATATTTGTCTAGCTTATATATCTCAATTAAATAGTTGGATGTTTTTGGTTGTAATGTGAAAAAATGTGAAAATATTTAATATAATATTTTTCCTCTTTTATATGGCATTTAAATTTAAGGCTTGTGAGATTTGTTAAGTAAGCATTAAAGTCAAAGCCATTGAGCAACTAATCCAACGGCCCAGCTCCTCCCTACCCGAGTTCAGGCACTGTGTTGAAACGTTATTTCTCTGTGTGAGCACTTCTGACTCAATCTCAGTTTCCTATACACACACATACACGCTAGAGCAAGTTCCCTACTGTGTGAGGTTGTGTGCATGTGGTTGAGGGACTTTATCTGAATGTATGCATGTGTGTCTGTGTGTGTGTTGTTACTCTAAACAGGGATCCTGCTTCCTCACTTCTCTCTTCTGTCTAACTCCGGTGGCTGGCTTGCTTGCTGTGGCCGTAGCTATTCAACACATCTTCCATGCCGACTCTATATCTCCATGACAACTCCCTGTCATAAAGACCTCGGAAAGAAATTGAGCACCTTAGATCAGGAAGAAGGACACGCCTGGTCCCACCCACGCCCAACTCTCTAAGGAATCCAGGTAGGCAGACACGCACATGGGGAGACAGACTGTTGCAAAATGTTGAATGAAAGATGAACGTCGCTCTTTTCAGTAGTGTTGAAACAGAGCAACAGGATCAAACAAGTATCTTTAAGCAAAGAGACGATATAAAGAGTAAAAAAGAAGCTGCATGTGAAGAAGGAGAGGGAGAAACTCTAACCCTGTTTACTTTCATTTCAGCTGTAAAGCAGTAGTCTCATTTAAAGTGAGAACATGTTCATGTTAGACATAAAGGGCTTCAGATTTCTTTGCAATCAACTTTGAATAGGTAGTATACTACAAGAATTGGTTGTCTGAGAGGGTTGTCATTATGGAGGGATCCGTTTCACTGACATCAAGGAACTGCAGTCTAAAGACAGCGCGTCATCATGACCTCATATATTCATGAGGCAGCAGAGAGTGATGAGCAGTAATAAGCAGGTGGTGCTGAGTGCGGTGATGTGGTGAGAGGTTTGGGATCAGGTGTGAAGGAAACCCCTTTGAAGGAATGCTGCTCTAGCTATTAAGGCACACAGACACACACATCCATTCAGGGAGGTTGAGCAGGGGCACAGGAGGATAGCATTTCCCATCCGGAATGATTGGAGGGAGGAGGTGTGCAGGGAGTTTGGGCAGTTCTGATTCTGGTTTGGTGAGTTTCAGGGGCAGGTATAGTGTGTACACCTTACACACAGCAGCAGAGGCAGGAGGCAAAGAGAAGGAACCATTGGAAGATTTCTGGTGAAACAAAAGGGGAGGCAAGCAAGAAACCCTCAAAGAGTTTTTGACGGTGACGATCCAGGAGCGTCAAGGTTGAGTTTACTCTCATGAAGCCCTGATTGGAACAACGCATAAGGTTTACTGTGAAGGAAGATAGATTCCGGTGTCTCATAGGATCAAGAAGGTATTAGAGTGTCAGTGTGTGTTCTGAACTTTTTCATTTCTTCTACCTCCTTTGGTCCCCCCCTCCCAGCTCTGAGGAATGTGGGGCTTATGTCAGTGAGAGTCAGGTACAGACTCACTAATTACCGCTGCCCTTCCTCCCTCCCTCCATCCCTCCCTCTCTCTGTTTTCACTCCTTCTTCTCTGTCACCTCCTGCGCTCCCCTCCACTTTGAGACCTTGTGCCACCCCCCCTGCTCTCCTGTCACCCGCTGTTACGTCTACATGTGTTGTCGTGACTGGAGCAGAGGAGAGGACAAACAGAGAGGATCTGAGTCAGGATCTGAAAAAACTCCAAAAGGAGAAGAGAAACTCTGACTTGTCCTCTCTGATTGTCTGAGTGCTTGAAGTCGGTTACAAGTGCCTGAGATTTGTTCTCATTGTGCTTTTTGTGGCTCCCTGTCACTGAAGACAGGAGTTTCCTTGACAGCAAAGCACAAGGTGAGAGACAGACCTGAAGACGGTGCACAGGAGGAGGTTAAGAGAAGGAGAAGATGAAAAAGTGACAAGTTGGATCGTTCCTTTCTGAGTGGTGGAAGAAGACTCAACAGCGACACAGTGACTATACGTCCCATCACCCTAAAGGTTGGCTGGAAACTCATCACATGAGTCTTCCTCACACAAGTTTCTTTGCGTTCTGCTTGTCTTTTCCCTCCTGATATCCTTAAGCATATCTGTGGGGACATTGTGTGTTTTCTCACCTGGATGGCTCATACCCTACGCACAATAGCACACAGACACACAGTGGGTATCTGGAAGGACATTTTTTCAGCTGGTCCAGTGATCACACTGACCCAGCTGACTGCTGTAACCTTCACGGCAAGGTTACGGGACGAGGTCTGGATGTTTATTTGTGTGTGTGTGTGTGTGTATGGGTCTGCGTTTTTAACTAATGTCTTCTCTAGCCATTTGTGTGTGTGTGTGTGTGTTTTTGAAAAACTGGTTAAGCAGGGCGCCAGTCAGCCTTGGGTGTCCTGTTGTTGTACAAACGGGATTTAGTTTTGTTGGTGTGTGTGTGTGCGGGTATACACACACCATGTCTGTAGTGTGCCTGTGTTGGACGGGTTATATCCAGCTGATATTTTCAAGAACAGATGTATTGTGTTTCTACATAGGATGATGTTCCTTTATAACCTATAAAATCTTTTCATTTCTTTCTAAACATGTAAGACACAACCAAAAGTGAGACCAAAAAAAAAAAAAAAAACTGGAAGAGAAACTCAAAGGAATATTTGGCTTTGTAAAATGATTTTCAGAGATAGTTGATGGGTTTTGAACTATATTCAGTTCAAATCTGTCCAGTTAAATCTAATTACATTATCTAGCCGTATACATGGTTTCATCAAATATGTCGTTTAGGGAAGACAACCTCATTAACCACACGTACTTTAATTAAGAAAAAACAGAGAACAAAAAGGTAATAGCAATGATAGATCCATTATGGCTCTATCCAGTAGAGAGACCCAGCTGAAGTGGTGGGACACAGGTTATTTTTATGCCAAAGAAACACAAAAAAGTACACATGGTTAAGTACACAAGAGTACAAAAAGTTAATAGCAAAAGGAGCAACATCAGTTGATGCTATATAGGAGAGAGTTAAATCCAGAAGTGATGATTCTGAGAGCTTCACGTGTAGAATAAAGACTAGAGTATACCAATGGTAGTTTCTGAAATACAGTGGATGCATAGATCCTTGCCTTACTTGAGCTGCTAGGCCAAATATGAGGCACTGCATTTTGATAATCTACCTTGGCACCTAGAATTTAAAATCAGAGGTGTAGTACTATGAGGCTACATTCCAACTGCAGGCCTTAATGCTCAATTCAGATTTTTTTTTATTTTTTTATTTTTTTGCCATTCACATTTCCAAATATATGCGACTTGTACCGGTATGTAAATTCCTATGTGAACTCAAGTGTCGCACATGCGCAGTAGAGGTCGCAATGACGTCACAAGCAAGCTTGCTCTGTGTTTATGGAAGTAAACATGGATGGTAGTGCTGGAAAGCATCTAGCATTCCTTCCCAGCCTTAAAAACTCAATCTTTTCAAGATGGTTAAAAAAAAAGACTGCTCTCGGCATTATCATCCTCCATGGTTATTGTTTTTGTTCCCACTTCTGCGTAGCAAGATACAGAATAGTGATCTCTGTTGAGTGTTATTGACGTTCAGGTCGGATAAATGCGACCTGGCCGTTCAGACACAGTTCGCATTTGAGAAGATCAGAGTTGTATCGGATTCAGGACCATATATCCAAATGGCCTGGGTCGCATTGGAAAAATCGGATCTGTGTGACTGCCATGAAAAGATCAGATACAAGGTCGCATATGGGCAAAAAAAAATCGGATTTGGCTGCATTGTGAGCGTAGCCTACAGCAACTAACTTCCAGCTGTAGTGTTGATGCATCTCTACCTGGAGTGGACTTGGACTTCCCTGGTATAAATGATTGAACATATAGTTTCAGGTGTTTGTGTTCTAGCTGCTGGTTGATTAGGGAACTTTGAGGGTCTCTAAGTAATATCTGTAGACTGCAGCCTTGATTGTTTTTAAAGAACAGTGATCCATGTTCCAGCTTTAATAGCTGTGAACATTTCTGATTGACCTTATGTGCATCATTTCTTTTCTGATTTGTCAGACAGATTATTTGAATATTCACTTTTCTCATTCTAAAAGTTAAAGGCACGTCTGTTTCCATATCTCATCTCCAGAGGAATTTCTGAGACTTTAACAAGCTATCTCACTCCTGTTTGACATTTGATAAGTTTAAACTATTTTAACTTAGTTTATTTTTTATGTTTTCAAGCCTATATTTGAATTACAATTGCAGATTTGGTAAAAAGTCAGTCTTTTGTCCTCTAAGACCACAGACATGAGGATGATTGTTGCTTACTGTAAATGCTTTCATTGGTTTCTGAAACGTCAGCGTCTGTTGAAGTGCTGGTCAAACCTGATGAGGTAGTCACACGTGGTTTCTTTGCTCTCAAGCAAACCAAACTAAAAATAGATGCAGGGACAAAAGGTGGGTATTTGACACTCTTTACTCAAATGGGCCTGTTCTTGTTTAAGTCTTGGCTAATAGTGCCAGGAGATCTACAATATTTGTCACTTTTCAAAATTTATCCTTGTATTCCTAAGACTCCTAAACACTCTTTAGAGAAGGCTCTTATGTTTAAGCAGTTTCCTTAGCATGACTCTACTGGTATATCATGTTGGGGCCGTTACTGGTTTCAGGAACATGAGACCAGTGATTGAAACAGACTTAAACAGGAAGACAAATAAGCAATTTCTTTTGCTTTTTAGAAGCGGCTCGTAGAGTATTGTTTAACAAACCTCAAACATAAGGAAGAGAAACAGCCTAAACTGCATGAATTAAGACACAGACAGACCTATAGTATACGACCGTGCCACATGATCACCTCATCACATGATCAAGCCCAGTGTGCTCTGTATGTGACAAAGCCATAAACCTCGGAAACAGTGAGGCAGAAATCCAAAGCTACAGCGTACAGAAAGCGATGCAGCTCGAGGAGAGAAGGGAACCTGTTAGCACTATTGTGCTGTTTATAAAACACCTGTAACCAGATCTGATGTGCCCTCTTTCTTTCTCCCTCTCTCTCTCTTTCCGATTCTTTCTGTTTGTCACAAACACACACATACCTGGAGAGGACAATGGTCACATTCTTCCCCTCTGTCCACCCCCCTCACCTTCCTCTTTAGCTCCCATCTGACCAGGCCTAACACAGTCTGGCAGTGGGACAAGAAGGAAGTAAAACCGGTAAAAACTACTGTTGCATGGTGTATTTCGAAAAAAGAAAACTATTTACACTGTGCTCATTCGTAACGATATATATATATATATATATATATGAAATAGTGTTTGTAATAGTGATTGTAATAAACTGCTTAGTTGGAGTAAGAAAGACTACAGGAAAAACTGCCTTTGCTAAATCTGGAAGCGTTAATCATAATAGCTGTCTCCCATGTTATATGTTCTGTTGACCAATCCATAGCACTTAAATTACACTTTACAATCTTTACAAAAGACAGTTTTTTGCAGAATGTAGTGAGAAGCTGGGTCAGTTAGTTTTCTTATTAAAGCAAACATCATATTCCGCTTTATGGGTACTTCAGACATTACGGGTCTGAAGTACCCATACAGAGCAGCGAAAAAGTTATTCTTTGAGTTTTGTTTTAACAAACAAAATAGCTTTTAATTTTTTGTCTGTGTTTTGAGAATTTATCCACAAGTGTAAATAAACAGCCCTTAGCAAAAAGTAGTATACTTGAAGTAAATTCTATTAAGAATATATAAGTATAAGTTTAGAAAGTAAGCCAAACAATGTACTTTTAGTGTACTTGAAGTATTACTAAAGTAATACTTCTTCAAACTAAATTGGTACATTTTTAAGTTTACCAAAGTATACTTAAAGTATACTTTGGTAAACAATAAAGTAAACAATAGTATAGTCAAGTACACCTGACTATACTATTGTTAAGTATATGAAATATAGTTTAGAACAAGTTAACTCTAAGTGCACTGCCTTATTTTAAGTATGAAATTAGTGCTCTTTTAGTATACTTGAATGAACGACTTTTTGCTAATGGAGGGCTTCTTTTCACTAGCTCTAGTCGACATTGTTCTGGTTTCCATAACCAGCCTAGAACTTGCGGTAGAAGTCTGTCCTGCGTGAGTTACTGTACCAGACCTTAACCAAGGCCAGCTCAAACTATGCGCTGAAACGTTGAGTGATAAAAACATTGTGTAACTTTTATTTGTGTTAATGTAGCGGCACTGTTGAGTGTGTAAACAGGTGACATCCACTCTCTGCACAGGCTGGATCAACACTCCCGCTCCCCTGTTTTTCCTCAGTGCCCTTTCCGCTGTTCAACCTTCGACCCCTGTGTAACCCCTGCACCCCCCGGTGCGGTGACACCGGTGAACTCTCCATCCTCTCCTCTCATCCTACGTCCCTCCCTCCTTCCCTCCTCTCTCCTGCAGTCTGCTCAAACGCTAATGCTCTTATTATGCTTCATTTCACCGTATGTTTTACAAGCCACCTCTGCAGGAGAAAATGAGAGAAAAAAATGGTGTATCACAGAATAGGAGTTTCTCTAAATACCTATACTTATGATCCTCTGTTGCAGGACTTAAATTGTTTCACTGAGAGATGATCTCTTCCTGTAATGTTATGCATTAACATTTCCCCCAGAAAAACTTTTTATGCTGAAGTTACATTCATTGCTTTACCATATATTTACATTTTCAAAGTATGGTAAACAAAGTATTTTTTTTGTTGTTGTTGTTGGTATTAATAAAGATCTAAAATACAAAGATAAAAAAAGAAAACAGTGACAGGAGTCAAAGACAAAACTTAAAGCAACTAACATATTTAGAATGAGATGCAAAAAATGTCAAACATATGCTGTTAAAAGTTTTTTTTTTTGCACAAAAAAATTAGTGGAAATCAATGACAATAATGATTTCAGCTTCAAAAAGGTTAAAAAAAAAAGATATTTACTTCAGGTAGCTTATAAGAGACAAAATGCTTTTTTAAAAGGTGATAACTGTCAAGATGTTACATAGGA